TGGTTAATAGTTAAATAGTTTAAGTAATAGTTTAAATCCTCCCAACATCTTTTCATGGCCAACTGCGAACAGAAATCAAAGATGATTTTTTGCTAAAAATTATAATAATTTGTTACAAATATATATTTTTTAGATAAGAAAAAAACAAGCTTTTTAAAAATGACATAGCCATCTATGATTCCCATTTAAAAAAATACAAGTTTATTTTATTACGGCTAAACAAACAACTGAAAAAAATTGTTAACTACATTATTAAATTCTACGTAAAAAAGTGCTTGTATAATGTTTTTATTTCAAATCTGTGTCTTCTATAATAACGAAGATATGAATTTTTTTAAATTTCGCTAAAATGTCAATTGTTGTCTATAAGTCGAAAACAAAAGAGGATAGCAGGATGCGGTTTTAACCAATATTGTTTTCTCAAAAAATGAGCCCCAGAATGTATTACTCGTTTTTGGCTAAACCTCTTAGTTTTGGAGATTCCCTATTCGGACATCCAAAATGCAGCACCCTGTACAATTCATTTTTTCTGAAATACAATTGATTAATTTGAAATACAACTGATACTTTATGAAATTAATCTGTTACATTCTGAACTATGTACAGTTGAAAAAGGTGTAGTTAAAATCTTTTAATATTTTCTTTCTTATTATTATTTATTATTTTTATACAATATACGAGTACTGCCTAAGAGTTTAAACTCTAACTAAATTTATAAAATATATGGTAAACTGTTTTGTCTATTTTATTGCTTCTCGAAGTGAAATATTGTGACCTAACCAATCAATTTTCTCCTATATCTTGAAAAATCAAAAATGTTTTATTTCTCTTGTCGGAAAAGTGTTGTTGTTATCAGAGTTTGTCTCCCCCACTAATTAGTTTCTGTCAGTAAAATGTAGATTTGTTATTGTCATAAGGATTAGTGAGTCAGATAACTCATTATGCTCCGTTAATTTCCTTCTCAGTGAACGAAATTTACTTTGCTATTTCCGTAGCAAATTTGCTTCGTTATTGCACACACAAACAACATTACCACAATGTAGTTAATTTATATCAAACTGAACTAGCGTGCATACAAATCAATCAAATCGTAATGTTTTTTGTTTTGTTTGTGCTCATCGCTCGTCAATAAACTCGCCAAAGAATATTAAATCGTAATTTCAGTAATAATCAGTAATATAAAGCGAAATAACTACGAATTCCAATAATTACAGCGCCGAGTTGGCTCAATCGATATAAATATCTATAGGGAGTGATTAAGTGAATAGAAGTCATGGTTGGATTTGTCGTGAACGCTCAAAATTCCGATTACAGCCACCGTTCCAGATGTTGCCTTGAATTTATATGTGATAGTCTGAATAAACCTAAATATAACACGAGAGACAACGGAATCGAAGAAGTCACCAGTAGTTTGAAATGAAAGAGAAAAATTTGCATAATATCCGCATAAATTTCAGTTTTAATATCTCAATTAGAGAGGCAACTGCAACAGTTTTAGCGAGGTCTGTAATAATGATTGATATTACCAATTAACTTTTGTATGCGCCCATTCAAATTATTGCTAATGACACTATTGTAACAGGGATTAAGGGCTGATACTGGTGTGTCAAACGCACGGTTCTACATTGTACTTTTGATTTGTGACTGGATGTGGAAGTGCAAATAAATATTCTCCTTTTAATTCCCAACTGATTAAGATAAATGTTAATTTAGAGACTCTAAATGTTTTGCCACTGCATAAAATAATACACTGTCGTTGTGCTAATTGTGTTCTGGTGTAGCTACTGCAATTTTTATTATTATTTGATTTCTTTCAAACGAGAACTGATGACAAATTGTGGGAGCTGGACAAACAGAACCATTAAATTTTATATAGCGACAATCGATTCTCCTCTTCGTTCAGTTATTACATCAAAGATTGTTTTAAATTAATCAGAGTTTGCACGATATATCGCATTATAGTCAAGATTTAATTATAAATTTCTTTGCTCGAGACCTGTTTGAGACATTTATGCTTCTTAGTCACTTTATTGCTCAAGAGTGGGTTTGCAATTTGTTCCAGATAAACTCCAAACTAAACGTCAACGAGCTGTTCTAACCGGAAATTTATAAAACTGCTTTATAGATTTGTTATGTCATTGATTAGCGAACAATGTCTGGTTTCAGTCCTTCTATTGTAAAAGTCGTTTGTCACAAGATAGACAAGCGCGAAATCTAATGCTTTCAACTTCTAGTTCACAAACTTTTCAAGAAAATACCTCCTTGGCTAACTTTCGTGTTGTATTTGATACTAGCGAGAGATTAAAAAAATTCGTTGGATAACATCCAATTCAACAACTTTAATAAAATTGGGTAAGATAATATTTTAAATTAATGACGAAATTCAAATTAAAATTTTAAATGGAGCTAATTCTTATTTCAGTAAATTTATGGTAAGTAGAGTGTAATCAGTATTTGTTGGCAAAGCCTTTCTTAGCATTCATCAAAGTCATACTGCGTTGTCCGGAAATGTATTCATGTTTCAGAGTTCCATTCCAACACTTTATCGTTACAGAAACTATAATCAAGCTTTGACAGTAGTGTAGTTGTAAGATGATTTTCCTAAATGTTTTGGTGATTTTTAAAAGGCTGTAACTCATCGAAAAATGATCGTATCTAGATTTAAAAAAATACATTTTGAAGATTTAAGTTTCTAGTTTTGAAATCTTTTGTCAATTTTTTTGTGTTACGGTTATTATGCAATCCGAAGTAAATAACGCGAGAAAAGGTTTTTTATTTATTTATTTTTTTGGTCTACGTATGTGGGAATTTTTTTACTAGTTAAGTCAATGTATAGGCACGGATACTATGTTTGTTTACTTTTATATGTTTTTTATATTCTCTTTACGCCAATTTGTCCCTGAGATATCTGACTTAAAATGAAACAGGATCTTTTTGTCTTTGATCATCGATATCTCAGCAACTAATGACCACACAGAGAATATAAGGGTTGTGTCAATAACTCAAATAAATATCTTATAAGATCTTTTCATGATTTTTAAAAAAAATATTTTTTTGTCCACATTAAAAAAAAGAGAAAAAAAGTAATTTTTTGCGTTGTTTTAGTAAATTTGTTTTTTTTTTTAATTTTAGGTGTTTTTACAGCTTAATCTAACTCTTATAGTTAGTGGTCAACGGATCAAACATTTAGATCCGTACCGGATCAAAATTTAAATGATCCGGATCAGAAACGATCCGTAACCGAATCAGATCTTAAATAATCCGTATCAGAAACGGATCCGTAACCGTATCAAAACTTAAAATTTCATGGCCTTTAAATAATCAATAAAATTGCCAGATCTGGGATATTAAGATGTGTTAAATTTTACCAGTTCTCTAAAAAACTTACAAAACAGACCACAATAGCCAAAAAATTTAGGCATAAGGATAATTGTTTTTTTATATACATTTTATGGGGCATCACTTACCTGTTAGTGTTATTGCTCCAGAACAAACTATTTTTAACGTTTACTTGCCAGCAGAACCTTGTACAATAACCTGAATTAGTGAATTAAATCCTGGACACATGAATTTCGTCTACAATTTTTCCTCGAATGTGCATTTATAACACCTGCATTTTTTGGAATCTTGGCACCCGTTTTTAGTGCATGCCGCAATGGACGTGGGAAAAACTGTTTAAAACAGTGCCTTTGAAAAAAGTTCTTACTGTGAAATTTTTTAAACAAATATTTCATATTTTAATATGAATGAATTTCCATAAATCAAATTTCTGCAAATATTACATTTCACAGTTTGCAGCAAACAATGTTTAAGTATACTGAATGCATGCAATTTTTTGATCAGGTAATCGAATTTAATCCAAACACATTTTGAACTAAAATCTACGACGTCATTATATTGATGCGATCCGTCAAACTGACTTAGATTTTTATTTGGTAGGTACGATCCGTTTTACTGATCCGGATCATCTGATCCGAATCCAATCCGTTACAGTGATCCCGATGCGATCTATTACAGTGATCCAAATTTGATCCGGATTTACGATCCGGATCTTTTTTCTATCACAAGCCGGATTTGATCCGGATCTAATCCTGTTTTTGATCCGTCCGGGATGGATGGATGATCCATCGAACCGTTTTCTCGGACCGATTGATCAAAGTTTGCAAAAGAATTAAAGGAGCAATATTGTTGCTGAACAACGCCTAATCTTTATCAAAATGAAAAAACTATTTTTTTGACAATTTTGCAGAAGATACTTGCTAAAAATAAAAAAAATTAAACAAAAATTATTATTTATTAAATTATTTTTTGAAAATGTGAAAAAACATCCAAGAAATGCATAATTTTTGAAAAAAAAATGTTTTAGATTTTTTTTAGATTTGT